GCAAAAATAATCGGTGACTAGTCGACTATCAAAATAATCGTTTGTGGCAGCCCTACTCACAACTCAAACAGAGGTTTACGGTTTAAGAAAACGCTTTGTTGATGAGCTCAGTTTGAGCCTCGAGTGGAATCAGGTTTTATTTAAATGTGGGAAACAGACGGAAAAGTAAAGACACCTTATCAAAGAAACCCAAACCCCGACTCAATTTTTGCTTCGCAGCTTTAACTAAAAGTGCACGTTTAGAAAACGCTCCGAGTGCTGATGTCGAATGTTCTCAGGTTCATCCACACGTAATAACATGACGATCAGGGTCAGCACGTTGTCTCAGAGCCACAGATGTTCTGGTGATATCTGTTTTTCCCTCTTTGGTCAGAATATTAAATACATGCTGAATAGTGACTGAATACAGACGACCGTCAGTCTCCCTCGCTCCATGCAAGATCTCACCTCGTGGGGTGAGATCTTGCATCTTATCACTGATGATAAGAAAGGTGAGGAATCAGCCCAGAGGAGTTGCTCGATGACATGAAGACAGCTGGGAGCACAGTTTCATGTTCAGGCTCGTCTGAAGTTTGCCAGTGACCATGTGGATGATCCAGAGGAGGCGTGGGAGAAAGTCATGTGGTCAGATGAGACCAAAACAGAACTTTTTGGTCTCAACTTCAGTCGCTGTGTTCGGAGGAAAAAGAAGGATGAGTCGCATCCCTACTGCGAAGCATGGGGGCGGGAACATCATGCTTTGGGCTGCTTTCCTGCAAAGGGGACAGGACAAGTGCACTTCATTAAGGAGAGGAGGAATGGGGTCATGCGTTGTGAGATTTTGAGCAACAACCTCCTTCCCTCAGTCAGAGCATTGAAGATGAGTCGTGGCTGGGTTGTCCAGCATGACAATGACCCGAAGCACACAGTCAGGATAACTAAGGAGTGGCTGCGTAAGAAGCATATCAAGGTTCTGGAGTGGTCTAGTCAGTCTGCAGATCTAAATCCAGCAGAAAATCTTTGGAGGGAGCTGAAACTACCTGACAGACCCAGAGGAGATCTGTGATGAGGAGTGGGCCAAAATCCCTGCTGCAGTGTGTGCAAACCTGGTCAAGAACTACAAGAACTACTGGTCAAGAAACGTTTGAGCTCTGTAACTGCAAACAAAGGCTTCTGTACCAAATGTTAACACCAATTTTCTCAGGTGTTCAAATACTTACGTGCAGCAGTGCAATACAGATGAATTCTTTAAAAATCATGCAGTGTGATTCCCTGAATTGTTTTTAAATGCTGTCTCTCACAGTGGGAATGCACCCACGTTACTATTCACATTACTGTGAACCACTTTTAGACGTTTTTCACTCGTTATCTCGAGACGACGGTCTGAACTGCTACAAAGCTCAAAATCAGTCAAACCGAGGAAACTTGATGACCTCTTGTAATCACATTTACATCGACATTAAAGCAGACGTTTATAGTAGTGTAGTTCTAGTAATGTGCAGCTGTTACCAGTTAAGGTTAGTTTTGTTGTGAAGGTGGAAAGCAGCTGATCGGTTTCATGTCATTTTATGACTCAACTTTATGACTTTTCTCATTGTTATTAAAATTCTGCGACCCAGCTTTTGTTTCTGACTTCCTGCCGAGTTTTCAGGTCAAACATAATAAGTCCAAAGTTGCATTTTGCAAAGAAAGCACCCACAGGAGTGGAAATGTTTGTTTACAGACACACACACGCCCAGCTCAGCTCAGCTACTCAATAACACGAGCAACCCAAACTAGCAGGTTGCAAAGTAACTGATGAGTGCACGGGCAATACACTCACAACACAGGTTGTCACTTGTAATCTGCCAACAATAATACAGTAGCATATTTGAGGTGAACACAAAACATTTTTTCTTGTAAGTTTGTGACTGATCTGCTTAAAAGTTACTTCTGCCGTGGCACACAGGTAAACCTTAGCCTTGTTTTTCAAGTTTAAGAAATATATTCTGGAAATAGACCCACGAGTGACACGTGCATTGCATTAACTATTCTCACCAGTGTCCGGTATAAAATTTCATAAACCAGCATTAAACCCAGTGTTATTATCACAGCACAAACATAATGATGCTGCACTCACTGCAGGTTTTCTCCTCTAAAGGAAAGAGTGAGAATAAGCAGCTGACTCTGGTGTTTATTATCTCGAATCGACTGTTTTTGGTAAATGGCCTGTATTTGTATAGCACTTTACTAAGGACCCCAAAGAAGCTACAATGTAGCTGTAGCTACAATGTAGCTACAGCTACATTGTAGCTACAGCTACAATGTAGCTGCCATCACCAGTGTGTGAATGGGTGAATGACTGGATGTGTAAAGCGCTTTGGTGTCCTTAGGGACTAGTAAAGCGCTATATAAATACAGGCCATTTCCCATTTCCAGCTCTATATTTTTTAGTACTTGTTTGTCTTACATTTACGCAGGTGCAGACATGTAATAAGTCATTTTTGCTCCTCCCTCTATAAGACCAACCTCCCAAAACCTGCTTTCTTGTGACTGGCTGTCCCTCACCGGACTTTCGCCACAGCAGCACCTGAAATCCGTCCGTTCACTTTTTGATCACTGACCCAGTTTCACATGGCGGAGGTTACTCCAGCTGTTGTGCAGCTGGGACAGGCCACCAGTCCACGCA